GTCGTGCTTCCGGGGTTCCTATAGGTTTTCGCCTACAGTGGTATTGACATGAACAATGCCTAGAGAATACTAAGTGACAAACAAGCTCGCTTTCAGCGTCTTAATCATGCCATTGCAACACAATAAATATGACTAGTAGCAGAGAAGGATTCAAAGCGGAAAGTATTCAACAGTTTGTGTCCTAATTGGTCCCCAATTATCATTTGCTCCGAGAGACCTGGCTGGAGAGACGACATCAGAGTATGAACTATTCTGACGTGATCTATGACAGGAAAGTAAGAGAGTAAATGCTTCAAAACAAAAAATGCTCGCTACCATACACACAAGCGGAACACGCAGACCAAAAATGCTGATAACTCTCGAGCATGTTAGTCTGTCAATCTGAAGACAATACAGTAGAGTTATTCCAAACTTTGCAGTTGACCGTTCGTGAGCTCCTTGCGAAATCCGTCATGTAAGTCCTTCGATGCTATCTCGAAATACATCGAACTTGAGCAACAAAACGACAATATGGACGTTCTAACTACTGACGCAGAAATTTAAAAACGCAATAATAATGAGCAAAGCATGAGTCCTGAGAAAAGTTATATAACGAAGTTGCGTTTCAGTGGTTTCCCGGAAAAGCTTAAGGGAGATAGTCAGGATCGGAACAGGACAACTGTCCCTCGATCTGCGGTAAACTGACATTCAGACGTGAAGTGAGATGCCCCTGATTCACAGTGAAATATTAGTCATCCAACTTACCAGCCAACACATTCCGAAATAAAGCGCGTTGGAAGAGCCCCGGCTACTCACCTACTGATCACATGCGATAATTAACTCCCACATACGTTTGCGAACACCTAGCCGAAGGTGAAGAATCTCCGCAGCATCTAGTACCAGTTTTTGTGAAATACAGTGGATGATCCTCACATTAACCAAGACTCTTCCATTATAGATACATATGGTACTGCTTGTGATAAGCTTTGGTCATGCGTTGAACCCATTTCGAAAGAGAAAAATGATTAAATATCACAGTTGTGATCCGGTGGACGATCAAGTGTGATGAGAGAACACAATAGATACAGAGCACAAAAATGGAGAACTGAAATATAACCCTAGAGCTAACCAGCAGAAAGAGAAGCGCAAAGTGATTAATAAATGAAATGGAGGTGAATGATAGACGGCATACGCCGTAAGAGAGAGAGAGAACACGCGTGTGAGCTTAACATCACGAATAATTACGAACTGACTTGAGAATGCTGGACTGCTCTTAGGTGTCTTTATGTCAAAAGAAGGGTTTGATCTTAATATTTACATTTTCCCCCAAAAAATGAATAACCACATTCCGTTTACAGTCGGAGGGATAACTGATCAAGGGTTTAGTCAGCACAGTTTGCTGTACAGTGGGTGATTACAAATAATGGGGGAAGGGCTAACAAGTGAATGCATGAGTGAAGGCGAGCACACAGTACCGCAGGTATACACATTAGGCGTGTGAATGCAGATAGAGNATATAAACCAAAGAAGAAGGGTAAGCCACAGGACTCAACCACTAAACTTGCTCACTGCAGTCATCTGGATAGCCGAAGATTGAGTTGCTAGTCATGAATGGATCTTTATACATTTAGGAAAAAAGATAGATACAGCAAGAGGAAATTGAAGATAAAGACAATGCAACGGAATGCAACAACAGATTTTACGGGTCAAAGAGGCCAATGACAACCCCACCCCACCCCCATAGTCAAAGTGTGAGGAGAGTTAAATTGAAGTAAACTATAAGACGACAGTTTACAGTCATGTTTTACGATGAGCACACACTGAACTTTGATTGTCAACCGGGGTGGAAGCAACAAAATGCATCAAGATGAAAAACAAATAAGAAAAATTTACAAAACTGAGAACCATTGAGTGCATGTCAGTATGGATTCTGAAATACGCGGAGAGCAGCGAGACCAACAAAGCCGATCAGGCATCCACGGATGGCACCTTTCCCTTGCCAACGCCATTTAGTTCCGAGGATCCGTTTAGAAGACAGGTGGAACTGACCGCATGTGTAGTGCGGCCAACTGCACAAGTGGAACTAATAACATCGGGCAGATCGGTGGGAGTGATTGAAGCCGGGTCGGCAGACAAAAACTCCGTAAGACGCTCAATCACTTCGGCTGTTGTTGGGCGTTTTTGATGATCTACTGTACAGCAGTCTACAGCAAGTTGAAAAAACCAGTTAGGACAAGAGGTCGGGACGGGCAAATGTTCATGATCCAAGCCAAACTCCTGAAAGGTATACGAACAAATAGGAATATTAGGGTTTCTGTGACCTTTGAAAAACGAACAAGTTACCGAGATAAATAATAAGGAAAAGCTCAGTTTCAAGGATCGCCGTAGACAGAGTATTTACAAACTCGTTGCTTTAAACATAAAGACAAGAACCAAACCAAGGTGCGATACTACTGAACATTAGATTCACAATGCGGATAGAAGTTAGTCAAGGAGTAAGTATTATAGGATTTATAACTCAGAAGTTCATAGTATAACAATAATGCACAATAAGGAGAAAGGTGAAACATAATTAGTCTCATTAATTCTTGGTGCGTAATACCACTCAAATCAGGATACCATTGGAAATTTAAAGATTCCTATCGCCTAGGATCAATGATCTGCGATTTAGAGGAATGGAATAATGGAAACCGAAGACAGCCGATAAGACTAAAAAGTTAGGTGGTATTCTGCAGTTTTATAATAAGAGACCACTTTGCTACTTTCAAGCACGTGTGTTTCTGTGTGAATCATTTTAGGCGTCAGATGAACCGCGATTTCCGGACCCGTCCGGCTGGTACAGCGTATCCGACCGCGAGAGGGAAATATGGGAGAAGCACAAATCCCAGTCCAATCATCGGCTAATACTCGAACGTGAGACGTCAAGTCAACTCTACCCGATGAGCAGATCGGGATGAAGATACATGAGTGGTAGATACGGAAAAAAGAAGAGTCATATGCCAGTAACCAAGATGGGTAGCAAAAAGATTCTTATTCAGATATGGAAAGCTCGATGAACAACACTCGCATAGTTGGAATGCTGATATGACAGTTGTTTGACCGCACAACAACTCGCACCATGAAAACAAGTGTGTTTTGATGCCACTCAGACTGAGTTTTATACGAACAGTCTATAAGGCACGCACTAGACAAGAGCTGTTCGGAAAAAATCTACACGATAATCGAACACTCAGCTGACGCTAGCCGGCTTAAAAAGCATGTGCGAATCATGTGATTGAAGTGTGAGGAACTGCGACAAAAATGGCTTTCAATTACCACGCAAAAACTGTCGAGTGTTAGGTAAACACGGTTAATCAAAAAATAAACAAACATTGAGTGAGCGTTGATTTTTAAATCAAACTAGTGAGCTCCCCGCTGTGAAGGTCTGGTGGGCAACAGCAAACAAACAAAAGAACGCTGATCAATCAACAACAGTTAGTGGCAAGTATTGAACACCTGAGTCACGCGTATCAGATGGAATAGTGGACGCAGTAAATGAGAAAGCAGATACTCAAATGATGTACGGATATCAAAGATGGTGGAATACTGCGCTTATGATCAGAGTTGGCACTTTTGGACGTGCACTCTATTTGTTCCTTCGTTGGGACTGTACTGTGAGCACGCAATGACACATTGACTAAAGAAATAACATCCTGAATTCGGGTGTAACATATACGAACAATAAGAGATCAAATACTTTTACAATGCCCGTTTCTTGCTTCACTAAAATGAAGTTAGAATTGAGTAAAACCGGTAGACTGAAAATGGATAAAGAGTGAGCAGATTTCCAGAAGATACAATGGACAACTGAGCCGGTCCAGAAAGATGAACTTGTTACCAGTTTTAAAGCGACCACTTACTGAGCGTCTCCTGTGTTGTATGGACGACAACTAATACGCCATGCTAATGAGAGGAGTCATTTTTGGACATTTGCCTTTTAACCGTGCCTCATATGTATTAAAAGATCGAGAATTAAAGCAAGGTACTTAGATGCAATGCTTTATCAACTAGATGCCTAATGTAAAAAGAGCCACCTGCAAAAAGATTCTGTTTCATTGAGGAATGTGCCCCGGAAGCCCGAGACTCAATTCCCGTGACAGGCTGTAGCCCCCGCACCGTGCCGTGGGTGGCGTTGCCGACTCGGTGGTCAACTGAAGATCTGGAGTAGTACGATCAAGGCGGATTAGGAATTACTGGGCCTCCAATCCGTATATGGAATTCGTAACTGGAACCAGAACTGGGTTTCATACTGCATCAACCTTGCTACCGATTATCATGCATGGGCCGCCATCATTAGAGACATCCAAGAAGCTGACTTATCCCCCCGAAAGAGTGAGTCGATCAAAAGTAAAGTGCGTCAATCGATCGAATGTTTTTCTTGAAGGAAGGAAACAGAAACCATCACTTGCGAATTTTCCCGTGGCGAGAAATGTTAAGTCCAAGATATATATGCGTTTAGTTTTACCGAAGTAAAACGAGTTACATCAGGATGTAACTAAAAGGCGATACCGATCACAAGTCGCGTAATGCGAACTCGTATGCCTAAGCCTGGTTTCAGTTTTCACAATCATCAACCATGCATTTTCATGCAGTACAACTCATTCAGTGACAAAGAAATATGCAATTTAAATATGCTTCTTTCTATTCACCGGTCATTGCGCCGATTTCTGCAGGTTCAGATTTTATATGTCAAGCAGAATTGTTCAATTGTCCATGAATAGATTGGGAATTTTCAGATTAATAGAAAATAGCTTCCTACGGTCCCACAAATTGTTTCTGTTGCTGAAAGCACTTCTGTCCTCATCAGGAAGGTTGATAAAAGCAGTTGTAATCAAATGGTTTGACCTAGTTGATGGACAATAAGAATGAGAATAAACGTCCATTGTGATCGAGTGCTTCAAAACCATAAAACTCATTGCCTTGTGAAAACATAGATGAGACAACTGCTCTTTGTGTAAGAATACGGAAACAGAAAAATTAAAGGGATTGTTTAGTGTTCGTATAGAGATTTCCGATGGAAGCAGTTGCGAAAACAGAACGCATTTGGTTGCATAAAAGCGATCACCTGATCGATATGCCAGATAGAGTCAACTTCAATTAAGCAGAACTGACAGGCACATGGAACTATTGAACTGGATACAAGAGGAGCAGAGTAAACAGTTCAAAAATCGTAAAAACTGATTCAGGATGACATGACCACGCTACACTGCAATCGACTGAAGGAAGTGCACCAATCATGTGACTCAATCAAATCAATGGACAAGGTGAATGATGTAATCAGGAATGCACAACCAAAGTGCTGTGCTCCGAGCAAGTAGCCAGAGATGAGTGGCCCGATAAAACTGCAGAAAAGCCAAAAGGAGCATAAAAATTCCAAGGGAATGTCATTTTGATACTTTGATTATAAGGCGAAAAATCACTGAAGTGATGCTACTTACTACGTAAGAAAATTCTGATCAGTTCGTTACTAAACCCCGAGGAAAATGAAACGATAGTTTCTACTCGCCCCCTGTAGAAACATACTAGCTGAATACGTCACATTCACGAATGCAAGTGCTTGCACTGTTGTTGCCACGCCGTTTACACAAAGTAAACAAATGCAGCCAAGGTGTTTGATGAACCCTTCACCGCGTAAATAAACCTTTGAACAGCTTACATGAAGTGAATAGCCACCTTCCCTAACTGGTCTCCTAGTTCCGATTTCATAAGCCAACAATCTGATCCAGAAAACATAATTGGCTGAGTGAAGGACTTTTTCTGTACGATGACCTAACGAATGAAAACGATGATAAACTTTTGTGTTGCTGGAGGGTTCAGTTCAGTTTTCGCACGTTTCGCAGCCAGACTAAGGAGGAACATCCGTGGGACATCGGGGATAGTGCCAGTTCACAGTGTGACCAGGTTTAAACATCTCTGTCCGAATATTGTGACAAGCTACTTGCGTGCCATCAATCCTATTGATCAACTGCATCCGCCCTGTGTGGCCGCAGTGAATCCGTCTCCATTCAGCGGTTGATCAACGGTCTCCGACTCTCTTCATTTCGGAACATTCTAGCAAAAAAATCCAACACCAACGGCCAGATCCCGGGATACAATCTTATAAAATCACCTTTGATGCATTGTTCACATCATTCAAATAAATATGAAGCGACCCAGGAAAAAAATCATTAGATTATCAATACATCCAAAAGCGATTACCTGTCCTAGAGTGATCCAGCAATATGCTTTTGATTTTTACATTCTGTAAGAATCCCGAAATGGTTTGCCTAATAATGTGTGAACTGAATGGTTTCCCGAGGTATTATTTCATTCGTCATATCAGTGAAAGATAAAAAACATTGAAGTTTAACTCGAACGATTGATCAGCTTAATTTATCAAAGATGCCTGTGTGTCAAATTCACTCTGGGTTTCCAGTGTCTAATGTTTCATTCCACGGTTCACGTGGTTGCATGAGGTTCATTCAATCAGTTTAGGGTTGATGAAGTAATTCAGGCGCCAGATGGCCATAGTCGTTCATGGCGATTTAGTTTCAGCGCGCAACCTGTGCGCTACGCAGAAACTTAGTACTTCTAACCAGCATTGTTCAGTTGTGGCTTTCACAAACCGCCTCGTGACCTTACAGGTCAGGCTTTGGCTAGCTGAACGCTCTGGTTATGGATCCTCAAGAAAATCCACCCACCTTGGCCTGGGCAACCTGGCAGTATTCATCCCACATACAAATCATGGAATGCTTTTCTTTTTCATAAATATTATTGTACCATGATTTATTTGGTGCACAGTCTGGCATCAGACTGTGAAATATATATATATATATATATATATATATATATATATATATATATATATATATATATATCATTTCGCCTGTTCGCCGGGCTTGGTAATTTGTTTGCAAACGTTTCATCACCAGCTGAGGTGACATCATCAGTACTTGTGACGTGGCCACAACACTGAATTTCAGTTCAATTTAAATTTTTACAACTAGGAATCATGCACTTTCGTGCGGCAGCTATGGTTGCTGTCTTTTGGTTTTAGATTTGGATGAAGGATTAGAGGGAAGATTGGAATGTCGAAGGGCGTATCATGGTTGAATTAGCTAATCTAGGTGGACTAAGATCGCAAGGAGTTTGCGTATATGCACCAGCGTAACTCAGTCTATTTGAACTTGGATTACGATGATCCGAGGAACGTGCTACAACAAACAGATCTCGTGGTCAGCGTTCCTACACTCTCATAC